CATGTCAATCATAATTAAATTAAATAGTTACAATTAAATCAAATTAATCAAAATTATTTTTGGTTTTATTCTATTTAATGTTTTTTCATTTTATTTTATTTTATTTTATTTTTATGCGCGAAGAACGTATCTGCATTTGGTCCCGCCTTCCGTGGCTCACATAAACGTCCTGATTGGCTCAGACAAACGAGCCTTCATGTCAATCATAATTAAATTAAATAGTTACAATTAAATCAAATTAATCAAAATTATTTTTGATTTTATTCTATTTAATGTTTTTTCATTTTATTTTATTTTATTTTATTTTTATGCGCAAAGAACGTATCTGCATGTGGTCCCGCCTTCCATGGCTCACATAAACGTTCTGATTGGCTCAGACGGACTAGCTCTCATGTCAATCATAATTCGGGCCAGTTGATTGGAGTAAGTAGAGACGTTTGTTTCCAGGTGAACTTTAATTGAGGTGTCGTTACGTGCCGTTACCGTTGATCTGTCGCCGGTTGAGGATTTAACTCAGTGACGAAGGAAACGTTTTACCGTGAGAGGAAATGGCGGCAGACCGAGCTGGTAAGAGTTTACCTTTAGGGCTTAGTTAGCTTAAAGAAACAAGCTAGCTGTTCGTTAGCAATCGATTGATTGGACGAAGTTTCACGAAAGCCAAAGTTGCCGTGACGTGACAGCTAGCATAAATGTTAGCTAACTTAGCGGCTAGCTTTTAGCTTGTTGTATTTTGTGGGCGTTTTAGTAACTTAATTGATCTAAATAAACATACAAGCTAACAAGCTAACAAGCTAACGTCTCCACGATAACGGTAACGGTAGTGTTTGTTGTTGCTCAACGGTTGGTTCCGGGACCATCGGGGGACCTGAAGCGCATTCAACAATGTCAAGTTAACCAAACAACGTAATGAAGAGTTGTTTCATATAACTTTATTTAAATTGTCTGAAACCGTGTTCACAGTCAGGAAACATTAGGATGATAATTAATAATTAGTTTATGTGTCTGCAGTGTTAGCATGAGGTGAAATACAACTGAAGTCCAGCTAACGTTAGCTAACGGCACAAACATGTCAGTTTGGAGTCTTGTTAGCAATATGGGATCAGTGCTCATCATTTAAATGATTAATATTATAAATACAAGTTAAACTTTTGGTGGCCTCATACAATAATATAATCACTGGCTTGATTTTCAGTTGATTGTGGAAAGTAACTACATACATCTACTCGAGTACTGTACTTAAGTACAATTTTGACTTGTACTTCACTTGAGTATTTCCTTTTTTCTACTTGCAAATATTGCACTGTTTACTCCACTACATTTACTTGATACCTGTAGTTACTAGTTACTTTGCACATTCAGGTTATTGATACGTAATATAATCAATATATTGTCATAAGTTAAGATACATATGTATTGAAAGTAGGGCTGCAGCTAACGATTATTTTCATTATTTTCAGCTGCCAGTATTTGAGCATGAGAAGCTGCAATAAGAGTATTTTGGGGTACTTTTTAGTACTTTTCTATGAAGAATGACTCCAACCGATTAGTCCATTACTAAAATAGTCAGCAATTATTTTAGTAGTCGATTAGTCATCGATTAGTCGACTGATCTTTGCAGCCCTAATTGAAAGTAATTAAAATCAGCTCCACTTTTTCCAGCTGCAACAATCACATGATGCACATATGGATGTGTTAATAATTATAACCCAGTGATGTAATAAAGCGTTATTATTTTGGAATAAATTCTGCATAACGAGTTGGTCCTTCAAGTAAAGTTCAAGTTAAAACTTCTGCACCTTTATTTAAGTTAAGTTTTGAATGCATGACTCTTACTTGTAACAGAGTATTTCTACACTGTGGTACAGCTGTAATATCTGAGTACTGCTTCCTCCACTGCCTTGGTGGATATAATTAGCAGTTGTAAAAATGTAATTGATCTTAATATATTGCATTATATATTATCCCAATACTCAGCATATTGTAACACGTTTCATAACTCAGTAATATGTATTGTGACTTCAATCCTCATGCAGTGAAGTGTTTCCTGTCACTGTTCTCATCAGGTGAATAATTACAGTCCTGGAAGCTGTCAGATGAGTGTAGTGCAGTAACAAATACATTTGCCTCTGAGATGTGGTGGAGTACAATTATAAAGTAGCATGAAATGAAAAGTATCAAGTACAAACTCCACCTCACCTCTGCTTGTTCCTTCAATAACAAGTATATAAAAGCCTGAAACATTTTCCATCCTGCATCGCCTCAGCTGTAGTTTAGAGCAGGTCGCTGGTGTGTCTCTGGTGAACGTTGTGTTGTTTGTTGGACAGACGGAGACAGAGAGTCAGACGGGGACATGGACGGGGACATGGACGGAGACTCCAGTAAAGTCAGCCCTCTGCTGGGCGAAGACGACTTCACAGAGTCCTGTGGCAAAGAGATGGCTCTGCTGACTCTGATGGAGAGGACGGGATACGACATGGTGCAGGAGAACGGACAGAGGAAGTATGGAGGACCGCCGCCAGGTCTGTGTGTGTGTGTGTGTGTGTGTGTGTGTGTGTGTGTGTGTGTGTGTGTGTGTGTGTGATAACAGGACATACACCCAGACTCAGAGCTGTGCTTTGTGGCTGACCAGGTTCATGTCCCACAGAGTCGTGGGGTCTCTGGATTTACTCAACCCAACACAGACAACTGGTTTCACAAAGCTGCTGCCTGACTGGCTCTGTTAGGATGTTCATTTGGATCTTTTAAAGTGGGGCTGTATGAGGTACTTACTCACAGTCAGTGTGTTACCTATAGCAGATGTCAGTCGGCACAGCCCAGTCTGGAGAAGCAGCAGCAGTACTGACACAGCAGCTCAATAATTAATATACAGTGCACTCAGTGAGTCCTGCAGGCAAACTAGTTTGTTGCAGCAGAAAAAAAAGTCGATAAAATAAAGTTTGGTGTGGATGAGTCATGATGTCAGCCTGGACTTTGACCCGTGCTGTTCTGGCATCAGCTCTGAACATTAATTTACCTCAGATGTGTTTCTGCACCGCAGACTGGGAGGGCCCGGCCCCGCCACGGGGCTGCGAGGTGTTTGTGGGGAAGATTCCCAGAGACATGTACGAGGACGAGCTGGTGCCTTTGTTTGAGAGAGCCGGAAGGATCTACGAGTTCAGACTGATGATGGAGTTCAGCGGAGAGAACCGCGGCTACGCCTTCGTCATGTACACCAGCAGGTGACTGTTTGTTCTGTGGAGGGTGAAACATGGCATCACAGGGGTCCCACAGGTCATTCAGGTCCATGAAGGTTTGTGACTTTGGGGGAAACAAATCAAGGCCTTGAAAGTCTTGGAAAATGGACATCAAAAGACGCGGCTCATTGAAAGTGTGTCAGTTTATGTGTTTTGTGCAAGATTCAAAAGTAAGGCACTTTTCTGTCTGCATGTGTTCTGCAGTGGCGTCTTTGTTTCAGGCGCCGTCTGCCTCGAGAACGTCTTAGAAAAGCTCTTGAATATGATGTAACACCCGTATAAAAAAAAAAATGTTAAAAAAATACAGCAGTAAATAAATGACTGTTGAAATAAATACTAAAATAATTGAAATACAATAGAAATAGATAAGAGAATAAATGTAAACATATACATAAATAAATGGAAGAATAAATAAATCCCAGAATGAATGAATGAAAAAATAAATAAATGAATAACAGAATAAACAAATGCTGAAACAAATAAATAAATACATAAAAAATACATAAATAAATTAAAGTATAAATAGATACTGAAAGAAATAAAGAAATACAGAAATATTTAACAATAAATAAATGCTGACGTAAATAAATACAGCGATAAACAAATGAAATAATACATAGAACTGGAATAGATCATTTTTTTTATTTTTTATTTTCCAGTGTGTGTATGTTATTAAGGGAGGTCCTGACCTGCATTTATTTCAGAAGTTATTTTAAAGTTGATTCATCATGATTGATGATGTATTGATGATGTATTGATTGTGGTCCAGAGAGTCAGCTCAGAGAGCCATCCAGATGTTGGACAACTACGAGGTCCGTCCAGGGAAGCTCATCGGAGTGTGTGTGAGTCTGGACAACTGTCGCCTCTTCATCGGCTCCATCCCCAAAGACAAGAGGAAGGAAGAGATCATGGACGAGATGACCAAGGTACACGCACGCACGCACACACACACACACACACACACACACACACACACACACACACTCTCACTGACCCCTCACATTGTAACAGCTAAAACCACAGAAGAAGAAGAAGCATCTGTTCATGCATATGACTTACAGTTTAACCAGCATCACGAGGAGAGAGTGGGAACAAACAGGTGTGTGTGTGTGTGTGTGTGTGTGTGTGTGTGTGTGTGTGGGGGGGGGGGATGATTTGGAAGAAACCACAGGAGGAAAGTGAAGTGATTAAAATGTGGAGTGAGTGAATTAAGTGGAGGTGGCTCTGCATGAACCTTCAGTCTGAGACATTCCCAAGACACCAAATTAAGAGCTCGTCCAGGCACAAAATCCTGAGAGAGAAAACTAAATGTGCAGAATAGTTTTCAGCTCTGCAGCGCCTTCTGTTAACTGTTGAAGAAAGTTGATCAAATCTCTGAAAACTTAGAAATAGAACGAAAAAAATAAGCTAACAAAATTTCAATTTGCTGCTGAACTCAGTTGTTATTGTAAATCACTGGAGAAGACACATTTAAAGGACGTGTGATGATGCATGATGGATATATGTCACTGTCTGGCCAGAGTATGTCGACAGGGGGCCAAACCCAGAAAGCTGTAGAGCTAAAGTCCTCTGAAGTTAGTGTCCAGATACTTTTGGCCATAAAGCTGAAGTTAAGAAATCACTTCTTGTTTTTCCCTCTTTTCCCTCGTTAACAACACCAATGTGTGTGTGTGTGGGGTCACGGTAACCATGGTGATGAAACACATGGAGTCTTTACATCAGCAGCAGATGATGCAGCAGATGTTTCTGCCTCCACACACACACACAGGCTGTAAGCATTTCTACATTCTTCACTGTAATCACATCGTCTGCTCATGTCATGTCTCCACACCTGTCTCCAGGTGACAGACGGGGTGGTGGATGTGATCGTGTACCCCAGCTCCTCAGACAGGAGCAGAAACAGAGGCTTTGCCTTCGTAGAGTATGAATCGCACAAAGCAGCAGCCATGGCCCGCAGGAAGCTCATACCTGGTAACACACTCCCTCTCCTCTGTCTGTCTGTCTGTCTGTCTGTCTGTCTCTGATGCTTCCTTCACGCCTGTAGAGCCTTGTCTGACTCTGGGTCAGTTCCTGTATTTGTCCAGCAGAGGGAGGTAGAACATTAAACAGCAGCAAAGAAAGCTGAAGAGGAATTTAACTGTGTGACTTCAGATGTGTTCAGTTTATTAGGCACAGTGTGCCAAAACCAGTTCACTCTAACCAGTGCTGTCATGAATCGTCCAACAGAAAGGATCTAATGTTTAATTTGTGGTGAGTCTTCCTCATTTTGGAGGATGTCATTTGCGCTGCTGTCAAACCAACAGGCAGCAACTTTTTTTCTCACTGGCCAGAATAATAAATTGCCTTTTTGTGTCACATACACATTTGATTCAGTACATTTCATTAAGAAAACAATATATTATGTTAAATACAAACGTCTTGTTTCAGATGAAGCAGCATCCATGTTATTATTTCATTACCTTCATAAGTATGAGTGCAACACTAGCGAGCAGCAGCAGACAGCAAGGGATATTTTAGCGTATCAGCTGATGTCCCGTACAGTAAACAGTGCTGCAGAACTAGTGCTGGAGACCTTCAGTTTCACAGCAGCATCTGTGTGTGTGTGTGTGTGTGTGTGTGAGAGAGAGACACAGACCGCACCGGAGCAGCAGAGCAGGACGCCCCTGAATGACTCCAAAATGTAGCACTGGCTCTCCGCATAAGTCAATATTAAATACATAAATGATTAATTAAAAAATTAAGTATGCCTTTGAAATATAAAAAATAAAGAAATGTTCTGAAATAAATCAATGTTGAATTAATAAATAAAAATCCTCTGAAATAAAAACAAGTAGACGTGAAAAAAAATCCTCTTTAAATAAAGACCTTGTTTATTATTTATCACTTTAATGACTGATGTATTATATTTGCATTTATTTATATATTTATTGCCTCTTTTATTTTTTTTTACTTAATTATGACCTAATTGGCGCTCCATAATGTGACAGCAGATCAATAATTTGGGATTTTGCGCTATTTTCTGACATTGGCTGGATCGTTAATTGATAAGTCAAGAAAATAATGAGAAGATAAATTCATTAAAAAACTTTACAGCTGCAGAATGAGACAAAACAATAAATGCATCACAGTTCAACAGCAGCACAAACTCAGTCCTCAGAGTTGAATCAACACAAACTGTCATGCAGGAGGATTCACTGCAGAGTGGATGAGCCTGTTAGTGTTAGCTCGTGTTCCTAATAAACTGGGCACTGTGTGCATATAGAAATTTAACACTGTGACCGTGGGATAAACAGGAAATTGACTTCCAATCGGAGCTGCTGCAGTTTTCACAGTGTAATTAATGTGACTGTACAGGACGGTAAAGTTCAGCAGACACATGCAGGACGCAGTTTCTGATCGATTTCACACTGTCAGTTTTTCTGTTGAGCTCTGTTTGGTCTGTACGTTAAATCCATTGTGGTGTAAATCAATGAGCAGCGCTGCTCTGAGGCACTATTGAACTTTAGCATCAGTGTGATAGAGAACATTGATTTGTCACATGTTTAATTCACTGGATCAAACACAGACGCACTTTGCTCTTTAAATATTTAACGGATAAACAGCCTCTGGACCTCGTTCAGCAGAGGCGGTAAACTCTCCTCGTGTGGTCAATTTAAAGATCCTGTCCACCTCAGGAACTTTACAGGAACTTTTCTGCACACTCAGGAAGCTGAGGTGTGTTCCCACCAGACGAGTCACACGCTACAGTTAATGTGTTTGTACAGTAAAAGAGGAAAGTCCAGAGGTTCAGACACTCCAGCGCCTCCTCAGAGCCTCCTGCAGCGTCTCACTGTGGAGGTGTTGAGTCTGTGCTGAGAGGAAGAGGAGCTCTGACACGAGTCATCCCACTGACAACATGTGAAGAAGAGTTCTGTTAATGCCCACTTTAAACAGAAGGAACGATACAGGAAGCAGAAACTTTTATCATCATCATCATATTCACATACCTCTCTTCTACTGTTAACCCTTTAATGTCCACACCAAGAATAAGCAATGAAACATTTTAATGCTCCTGAGCTGAAGATGGCCGCGGCCGCAAGCATTATGTTTTTGAGTTTGTCTGTCCCATCCTCGTCAATACCATATCTCAAGAATACCTCAAAGATTTTTTCAGATTTGGCACAAACGTCCACTTGGACTCAGTGATGAACTTACTCGTTTTTGTTGGTCATAGGTCAAGGGTCAAGGTTGCTGTGACCTTTTCTGCATCGTGAACCTGATACCTCAAGAATGCCTCGATGGAATTTCTTCAAATTTGGCGCAAGCGCACTTGGACTCAGCGATGAACTTATTTGTTTTTGGTGGTCATAGGTCAGGGGACAAAGTTGCTGTGACCTTTTCTGCATCGTGAAGATACCTCAAGAACGCCTTGATGGAATTTCTTCAAATTTGGCACAAACACACTTGGACTCAGCGATGAACTTATTTGTTTTTGGTGGTCATAGGTCAGAGGTCAAGGTTGCTGTGACCTTTTCTGCATCGTGAAGATACCTCAAGAACGCCTTGATGGAATTTCTTCAAATTTGGCACAAACATCCACTTGGACTCGAGGCTAACCTGATTAGATTTTGGTGGTCAAGGGTCAAAAGTGCCATTTTTTTAAAAGGCAAGCTACAATCAACAGCAACAGCATTTTTTTAAGCTGGACCTGGATATTTTATACCTCCGTGCTAACGATAGCTGTGGCTGGAGGCATAATTTTTTCGGGTTGTCCATCCGTCTCTCCATCAAATGCTTGTGAACACAATATCTCAAGCACGCCTCGAAGGAATTTCTTAAAACTTGGACTCAGTGTTCAACCAATTAGATTTTGGAAGTCAAAGGTCAAGGTCACTGTGACCTTGTCTCACTCATTTTCATGAATGCGATACCAAAACCAGGGGTGGACTGGTGGGCGGAGTCATACAACCACAGGGTGGAGTCATACAACCATGGGGCAGACTGGTGGGCGGAGTCATACAGCCACAGGGTGGACTGGTGGGCGGAGTTTGTATCCCAGGTGAGGTGGGCTCCTGTCAGGCAGAAAAACCGCTTCTCTGATTCCAAAAGCTGACATGATAAATCAATATAGCATCCAAACTGTGACACAACTCCTCACCTACAGTGTGAACAGTGACCCAGCTGTGTGTGAAACAGTGTGTGTTGACACATGGAGGTTTAACAGTGTACATCATTATGTAACTCCTGTGGTGCTGCTGTGTTTAACAGGAACCATCCAGCTGTGGGGTCAGTCCATCCAGGTCGACTGGGCGGAGCCTGAGAGAGACGTGGATGAGGAGGTCATGCAGCGTGTCAGAGTCCTCTATGTGAGTATATGTGCGTCAGTGTGAGACAGACTCTCTGTATATGTGTTTGTTCTTATAAAACCCTCAGAAATAACAGCTGGGCTCAAAAGAAACGTCTCCGGATCAGAAGATGAGTGTGACAAGAATTCTGATCCAGTTTGTTTATAAAGTGAGTCACAGTGTTAAAGAGGGGTGCCTTCGATCCCGAAAAACCCCAAACTTTCTGAATCCTCTAATTCAGGATCAGTCTATATAAAACTGTCCTCCTGCTCCGCTCCGCTCTGCAGCCAGAGGTCGGTCAGTCAGTCAGCTGGTTTGTTGGTGTTTTAGGAGGAAGCTTCTGAAATATTTAGCAGGATTGTTGAGATCAGAGGTGAGAGAAAGAGCGAGGCAGCAGGGGGGAGAAGACTCACACAGAGCTGCACAGCCTCCAGGGGATCAATTACTGTTCCACTCAAAGACTGAGATGTGACCCCAGGGCAACAGATACGAACCCAAAAGAACTTTACAGTTGTGTTTTAAGCAGGGGAGGCCCAGAGCTAAATAAAGCCCCAGGTGGTGTGTGTGATGATCATACTGCAAACACAAAATTATTATGATTTTCTCTGAAGAAGCTTTTCATGTATCAGCCGTGTCGTATTACTCACAGGATAATTCCAGTTAATAGCTTCTTTGCATATGACGTCATACATCAGTGTGCTGTCCAGATGGAGGCCAGGCAGCTGGAGGCAAAGACTACCAACACTGTACTAATGCATCTGATTGGTGTTGTTACAGCTGTTCAGTTGATGACATTGAAAAAAACAAAGGCCACTTTAAGTCCTGAAAATAGAAGGTTTAAAGGGGAGACGTTAAAAAAAACTCACTGAGAGAAGCAAAAACCTCCATCTTTAGTCTGGAGGAGCAGAGTCAACTAATGTCAAACCTTAACGAGGTGCAGTTACATTGTGCTGTCATAACTTCCTGTTTTTAATCACAACCCTGAATTTTAACGGCATCTTACCAGATCTCTTGAAACAGTTGACCTCATAGGAAGAAAATAGTAGCTAAAATATGCTAACTTTAGGCAAGGCAAGGCAATTTTATTTATATAGCACCATTCATACACAAGGCAATTCAATGTGCTTTACAAGAGAAATACGTTAAGATAAAATATTAAAGGAACAATAGATCATTATAAACAAAAGCTAAAAGCAAGAAAAACAGTGCAGAAAATGCATTTGCAGCTAACGTTAGCTAACATTAGCCTAACAGTGTTTTATCAGACCTCTGGCAACTGTTGACTCCGTAGGTAGAAAATAGTGGCTAATGTTAGCTAGTAATGTTAGCCTGACAGTGTTTCGTCAGACCTCTAGAAACGGTTGACCTAGCAGGTAGAAAATAGTAGCTAAAGTTAGCTAACGTGAGCTAGTAATGTTAGCCTGATAGTGTTTCATCAGACCTCTTGGAACGGTTGACCTAGCAAGTAGAAAATAGTAGCTAAAGTTAGCTAACGTTAGCTAGTAATGTTAGCCTGACTGTGTTTCATCAGACCTCTTGGAACGGTTGACCTAGCAGGTAGAAAATAGTAGCTAAAGTTAGCTAACGTTAGCTAAGATTGGCAACTCCACTGTAAGAAGTCTGAACTAACCCTTTCAGTTATTATCATCAGTGCTTGTCACTCTAACCTGCGTCTCTGCTCTTTGCTAACAGGCTGACTGGACCTTCTCATTTGACGAATCTGGAAAAACACAGTTGTTTCTGACAGTATAAAGTTTGGAGAAATATTTTAGAAACACTAACACAGTCTGTGCTCCAGGTGCGTAACCTGATGCTGTCCACCAGTGAAGAAACTCTCCGTCGGGAGTTCTCCTGCTTCAAACCAGGCTCTGTGGAGCGTGTCAAGAAGCTCACAGACTACGCCTTCGTTCACTACCGCAGCAGAGATGACGCCATCACCGCGCGGAGCCTCATGAATGGAGCCCAGATTGATGGAGCCACTGTGGAGGTGACGCTGGCAAAGCCTGCGGGGGTGAAAGAGGGGAGCGTCGTGGGGAGGAGGTCCAACAGCAGAGGATACGTGGGAAACAATGCAGGAGGAGGAGGAGGAGGAGGAGGAGGGTACGGGACGTTTGGCCTGTGCAGGAGCGATGAGGGGATGATGGGAGGAGCTGACGACACTTGCTCCCCTCTGAGGACAGTGCCCCTGCCGCCTCGCCTGGGAAGCCCCTTCTACTCAGGAGCAGGAGGTAAGCAGGAGACATAGAACAGAGAGATTATTTCCATTTCAGCTGTTTCAGCTGCAATAAACAAATCAAACAGTTTAAATAGCTCAGCCCAGCTGATATTTAATTCAGCACATAATGCCACCTTTTATGAACCTGCTGAACAGGATCCCTCATAAGAGCACACGTTGCCAAATCAGCTGTTGTCTCAAGCACACCTGAACTAATTAAGGGCTTCATCAGGTGTGCTTGAGAGAGAACACATCTGGACCAGCCAGGAGTTTGTTGACGGTGAAGTTTGATTGCATGGTGAGAAATACGACTAAGAGCAGTGCCCGACAAGTTGTGTAAACAAAGAATAGGATACACAAAGACAGCAAAGGTACTGAATGTTCCCGGAGATAGAGCTGGAAGCATCGTCCAAAGGTAAAGGAACACTGGCGACAATACCTGGACCTGGCAGAAAGAGGAAGCTGCCGACAGCTGCTACCAGATTACTGCGCAGGCAGGTGGCCAAAAACCCTCCAGTGACCTGCAGCAGACACTCAGGCTACAGTTTGCACAGTAGAAGAAGACAAAGAAGACGAAGATATACTCAGAGGGGAAATTCAGTGTTTTCACTCTGTTGTCATACACACACAGACCTGAAATACACACAAATGCACTAACAGGGCCTGTACATGTATGAAATGGAGAGAGTGAGAGGGCAGTTGGGGGTTCAGTGCCTTCAAGGACACCACAGCAGTACCCAGGAGGCAAACTGGCACCTCTCCAGCTACCAGTCCACGAATACTTGGACCAACGATCCTCTGGTTCCCAACCCAAGTCCCTATGGACTGAGCTACTGCTGCCCAGTAAGGCACATACTAAACACTGAAGGTGGCTATGCCCAAACTCCAAGACGAACACCACTACTGATCCAAAAGCACAAAAAAGTTGGCTCCAACATGCTAAAACACAGTATAAATAAACCACAGAAGTTTTGGGATTTGGTTCTGTGGAGCGTTGAAGCACCACTGGAACTTTTGGGGCCTGTGGCTCAGCGGTATGTGTGAAAGGAAGACTGAAGCAACAATGAAAAAAACACCCTGTCACAGTGAAGCGTGGCGATGGCTGGGCTTTATTATCAAGATCGATTTTTAGATCGTCATTGTCTCATTTTTGTCATGGAAAAAGGTCGTTGACGAAAAACTGTTGTCGTAGTGTTCATCAACAAAATCAACACTGATTTGAAGAAGACGGTTGCAGCATACAAACCCAGAAATATTAGTGAGCTGGGGGCTGGTTTACAGCAGGTCATAACGGCAAAGATTGCTCCAAGTACTAAAGACTCTTGTCATGAAGGGGCTGAATAGTTTTGAGACTGCAGTCGTCATTCAAAGTGTTATCATGTGTTGACTTGTGAGGAACCACTTGTGAGTATTAGTTGTGTGGAGCTGTTTAAATTGTTTGATTTGTTTATTGCAATATTTTGCCAATATCCCACATGTGCAATGGGGGCTGAATAATTTTGATTGCCACTGTATAAATTTTCAGTCTGAAGCTGAGCTCCTCATGAATAATATGTTTGTAGAAATCTTTTCACAGTTTTCTTTTTACTTCAGACTCCTTCAGTCGAAGATGACATTCTCATATATTGATATATGGTCCAGTTCTATGAGGGCTTTCTCTCCAATTCAGAACATGTCTCTGCCTCCAGAAGAGTTCTCCTCAAACTGCCCAAACCTTACATTTTCTTCAAAATAATGTTTTTGACTGTAGCAGAAAAGTTTCTTTACAACCCGACCACCCACCAAATCGATATCACTCATCTCCAGGTCAGAGTGAGGAACATAGACTCCACTGGATCTCTTTAAGCTTCCTAATGAACTCCAGCACTGCCTTTTTATCTCTAATGCGTTCACACCGGCTCTCTGTTTTCCTCCTGTAGATCTGAGCAGGTTTTCTGACTTTGTCTCGTCCATTACAAACCACATTCATCATCAAGTCTCATTGATACAGCAGCAGTGATAACATTGTGGTGATGAAGCAAAACTCCAGTTTCCTGGTCCCTGTGGACATTTTCTGAAAATGAGAAAAGTTTTTAGAGTTAACTCTCCCACAAATGAACTGTGAAATATTTATGAGAGGAAAGATGTCATAGCAGCGCAGCCGACTACTACTACAGAGCGAGGGAGGATAAGATGGGTGGATCTGGGAGGTGGAGATGAGAGAGACGGGAGATGGATTAAAGGGACACTTTGGGAGTTGGATTCATGGTGGAGTGAAGAGACAGATTTAAGATTGAGGAGGAGAGCTGGACAGAGAAAAGAGGAGAGAGACTGGTGGGGACAAGAGATGAAGAGCTTTAGACTCAGAGGGAGAGATGGACAGGTGTACATAAATCTGTCACCACAGTAATTACCTGTAATTTAAGGAGCTCGTCACAGCTCTGTCAGCTGACAACCTGCAGTCACACAGGACTGTCTCTCATCCTTCATCACATCTTTAGTTGTTGTGGATCCATTTAGGCCTGAAACTTATTATTATTGTTATATTCTTTATTCATTAATCTGCTTGTTATTTTCTCCAGTGTTTTCCCTACGTTAATGTGTTTGTGGCGGCCTGACACAATCCACACTGACCGCCACATATTGATGTTCTATTATTTTACTCACCTGTTTAAAATGGATAAAATCTTGTTTAATTCAAGAGCTGCATTGATCGCTCTGTCTCTCGATATGGGGCACCGAGTTTAATGAATTATCTGCTTACCGCCCACTGCCACCAGCACCAGCACCAGTCAGTGGAGCTGCAACTATTAGTCGATTAAAATAAGTTGAAAAACCAACTACTTGATGATCATAGTTCCAAACATTTTCAAGCAAAAATGTGAAACCTTTGCTGGTTCCAGCTCCATGAATGTGCTGCTTGTCTTTGTCTTTCATGACGGTGAATGAAGAGTCGTTGGGTTTTGAGTTGTTAATATGTCACTTAGGATGTGGATTCACTCCCCCCTCAAATGTTTATGTTTAAGCTCAGTGTTGTAATACAACAACTGTACAACTGTAATACAAGATCGTTTCTTACCAGCTGGCTGCCATTGTTTCAAACAAACGTGTTCACATTGCATCACTCACCAGCAGGAGTGTTTATTGGCCCTGTGCGATGCAGTGAATTCAAGCGCCTTTTCTCCGTTTTCTCTGGTTCTGTAGCACCAGTTTCAAAAATATTTCCATCTTTCTACTGAAAGAAACATCTCAGTTTTATTAAAAGGTTGGGTTGCAGCAGCATTTGAGAGAGCGATCATCTCCAACCAGCTGCACTGTATCCAGCTCAGCTCCTGTAATGGAGCTGGCTTTCCTGATCATTTTGTCAAGTTTATTTTTGTCTGACATATGGGCACCCTCTCCCCAGCACGCCACAGTGAAAAAAAGAGCGCTGGCCATCACTGTATGGTAGATGGTGCACAACAGGAGTCAGCAGATGTTAAACAATCTAAGCCTTCTTAGAAAGTAAAGTCGGCGCTGACCCCTCTTGTGCACCGCCTCCATGTGACCACTCCAGTAAGAGCGTAAAATTAACACCTGCCAAGTGCCAATGGAGGGTAAAAAAATGAGTTTGCCGTGTAAAACAAAAACACACACCCACCAGTGGCCGATGGAAAATTTTGAATTGCATCTGAATTTTTTATGTGCTTCGACCAATTCTGCCAGCTGTGTCCAGGGACGGTTTTTGCTATGGGCAATGTGGGCGATCGCCCAGGGCGCAATCTATGTGAGGGCGCACGAACGCCCTCCAAAAAAAACCAAAAAAAAAACAAAACCTCGCCAGTTTTCCAGACTACCGCTCATTTCCATGTCAAGTTAGTGGAGTGGGCGCTGGGGCGCCCCTATTACCATGTTTCAACCAGCAGCAGAAAGGAAAGGCGAATCCTGGCGGTTGTGGGTTGAACGGGGGTCACAGACAGGAACACGGTGGAGGCTCATAGTGCTCTGCGGCGCAAGATAACGGCTTACCGGCGACAGAGAAGTCCGACTCCAGGTCCAGTAATTTCCTCTTTCGCTGGTGTCATGCCTGCCCAGTAGTACCTGGACCAACTGAGCCGTGGCGGCACACAGGTATGTGCCGTGTCAGAGGAGAAACGAGCCGTTCACATTTCCACAAATCTCACCGCACTTTAGGGACTGTTCTTTACTTATGAAGGGACTGTTCTTTACTTGTCAGGGGAGGAGAGTGGCTGGTTGATTCTTATTTTATTTATTTTATTTTGATCCCTACTATGTTAATCACTTATTGATGGTGTTTTTGAAGTATGAATAAGTCAGTAAGTAATTTATTCCATTGAAATATCATTGATGTATTATAGAAAAGTGATTTATCTTTTTATAAATGACAAAAGGCACATCTGCCTCATTTTTGCTGTGGTATCGTGATACTACTACTGCAGCCTTTGCCGCAAGCATGCCAAAGAAACAGGAGGTCACTAGCCAATGGCAGATGAGGTAAAATGTTAATTTTACGCCCTGACTCCAGTCCAGCCGGTCATCCACCAGCACCCCCAGATACTTGTGGCTGGAGACCCTCTCCACCACAGTTCCCTGGATGATAATCGGCGCTGGTGGGGCCCTTCTTCTCCTGAAGTCCACCACAACCTCCTTGGCGTTGAGCAGGAGATGGTTGTGGTTGCTCCAGGCCACAAAGTCCTTAATGGTCCTCCTGTACTCCTCCTCTACCCCTCCCCCCTTGATGAGGCCGACCACCGCCGTGTCATCAGAGAACTTCTGTAGGAAGCAGCTGTTGGTGTTGTGCCGGTAGTCTGCCATTTAGATGGTGAACAGGAACGGTGCCAGCACGGTACCCTGCGGCACCCCCGTGCTGCTCTCCTTTATTTGAGTAATTTTCTAAGAGGAGACTTTTAACACAAACTTCATTAACAAAATGTTTCATGTTTCAGTTTTAGTTATAAAACGTTTGTTCAGCCATCAGTAACCTTCTGTTTTCAGTCCTTTTAGGATCAGTCTGACTGATAATAAGATAAATTCTGTGATGCTGTTGCAGCCCTAATAGAAGGCCATCCTTCCAGCGGTGAAGAACTTGTTTTAAGGGCGAATTTTCACCAGTTGTGAAATACTCAAAGAAATGCTTCACTTGCTGTATTAATGTGAGTAATGTAAGGCAACATTTGCTTCATGTTCGGTGTGAACAGACTTTAACTCACTTTCAAACAGCTGGTTGAGTCCAACTTAGTATCCAGAAACCTCCAGATGATGAGTTTACTGTATTAAGAAAAATGGAGAAACCTGCGAATATTAACAGTTAAGAAGCTTGGACCGGTTCATTTCAACATAAGTTATGATTAACCAAATATTTGAATCAGTCCATTAATCAACTAATTGATTAACGGACCCCTTTTAAACCCATCTCCATCGCTGTGACACAGCAGTCCTCTTAATCAAACTCAACTCTGTAACTTTGCAAACTCATCGTGCACACAGCGCTCCAGTTCAGCACCAACAGCCCACTCCAGTATTAATGACTGTCAGTGTTGAGGCTGACCTGAGATCAGTGAAGTGTTGGATGTTGGCAGATGTACGTTTTCTCTTCTCTGTGATGTGTTTGGAACAAACAGGATTAAAAGGTTTCAGAGCCCTTTTACATCAGACTGAGCCCCCCACAGGTCATGTGTGAGAGGAGAAATATGGATTTGTAAATCCGGATTAATTAACAGGAAACAGAGTGATGAAATATATAAATTTAGGAGCTCATTAGCTAAATAAGCTAAGCTGCACCACATGAGTCCAGAACAAACAGTGTGTGCTTCTGAAGTTGCGTCCTGCTGCGGAGCGCCCAGTTCAACAGTTTGGTAAAGAACACAGAAGAAATAAGTCCCGATTAGACTCACCAGAAAACACAACATTAGTTTGTTGTTTCGATCAGATTTTCTTCGTAATAATTTTCCTTTAGAAATGAGATATTTTAAAATAAAATGAGCCCTGAGCATGTGGAGGAGCCGCAGCTGTTTACTCATGAAAATGTAAAGCAGTTGACGACAGTGACATAGAAGTGTCTCCTCACACAAACTGTTGAAATAACGAGCAACAAGAGGAGAATTAATTATTTCCATTAATTAAAGCAAAGCAGAAAGAGCAGCATAAATTTACATGTGATCATGAAGTTAAAGATAAAGTTCACATTACGTGTTGACACAGAAGAATTTGCTAATATATTCACTCCCCAGCTTGATTAATGACATAATTAGCATAAATGGATGTGTTTCATATATCATGGTGATTACAGCAGCTCAAGTGTTTTGTTTACTGACACTTAAAATGTTGGTGATGTTTCATGTTCAGCCCGACGGGCAGCTCTGACTGTCACACCGGTTATTTATACACCTGCTTTAATCTTGTTTATTGCTGCTTTTTACTGCCTTGAATGTGAAGGAAAAAAATGAAACTAATATTTTTATTTAAACCAAAAGAGTCTTTTATAGAAACATTTACGTGTAGTTCAGGACGGAGGATGATAATTAGCGATTTACAGAGGGAGAAATGGAGAAGTTGGACAGAACAGCTGAGTCAGTCTCATTTAATGAACAGATAACTGATGATAGCTGTGCTCTGAATTAATTAACTCTAATGAACTGAGGTGCACTAAAACCATTTGGTTATTAGACTCAATTATAGAATAACATTTTCACAGAATATGAAGACACCTCTGTGGAAGAGTTTAGTTTGTCGTAAAAGAAGTTCTTTCCCACAACGCCGAGCCAATCAAATGTAGGCCACACGATATCAGCCTGATTACAGTGTGACGAGTCTAACTTGTGTAACAGCAGCAACAGAAAGTTTGCTGATGGAGCAGGCAGTTGGGGCTGTCCAGTCCCTCAGAGCTGGGGTGGCCAGCAGCAGCGATAAGTCTAACGCCTAAATTCCACTGGATGCGTGTCCGTTGAGGAATGGCTGCGCTGGTTATCCGCTGCGTGCTCCGCAGTCCGTCAACACCCCCTGGCTGCGTTTGCTGTGCGGAGTGGTGCAGCTCCGCCGGACAGCGGGAGTCACGAGGACCCACGAGATCTCGCGAATTCACGTGATATAACAAGATGTAGTTTCTATAAACAGAACCACAAAACCAGAGGAGTAGCTGGAAGACATCTGGGTGCACCTCCATGATTGACATCTCCTCGTCCATGGTGTCAACGGGGTGAAATGATGTCTGAAAACCTCCTTGCTGTTTTTCCTTAAAAACATTTCCCTGTTGATCACCACAGCACTAAAACCTCTCAGAGGAAAAGCTGGAATTAAGAAGTGTTTGGTCAGAGAATGTTGACGAATCATTTCGTGTTGTATTATTGAAATTCCAACATGGAGACAGATTGTTTGTTTGTTTTTTTCTTATAGTTGTTTTATTCAAGCAGTGAACTTGTGAAACACTGGGTTCTCCAACAGTGTGTTGTTTCGGTGTCTGAATGAACCGATGCTGATTAATGCTGCTCTCCTCACTGCACTCATGATGGCTCAGGCTCCACAGGTGTAACTGACTCTGAGCACTCTGTGGCTTCAAGTCTATTTGGTTCAGACTTCTGAATGAGCCCACAGCTGCAAAGTGTTTAGATGACATGTTGGTGAAGGTGTGCGAGCGAGTGTTGATGCTGTTTGTTTCTGTGCCTCCAGAGAACCCAGACAGGTGTGTGTTCCCCCTGTACCCCGGCACCCCCCTCACCCCCACCAGCCTGCTGTCACTGAAGCAGAGTCAGATCAGCTCCGCCGTCACTCTGCTCGAATTCTACTGCTACAAGAACCACTGGTCTCTGCCTGAGTACCACCTGTACTCCACACCGGGACAGGACGGGAAGCTGCTGCTCCTCTACAAGGTCTCTGCACCAAACACTACAAACACACACACACACACACACACACACACACACACACACATTTTAACTGCTGTTTATGTACAACAACACACCAGCGTTCTGCAGATAAACAACAGACCTCTGCAGGAAGTGCTGTCCACCATCGACATCATCTCACCTCACATTACTTTACTGTACCAAGTGTTGGTGTGTATTCGTCCTGAACTGCTCAGTATGCGATATATATTCTGTTTGGTTCACCCTCTGCCCAAACAATTACTGTCAAAATATCCTGGTTATGTTTAGTACTCGCACACACAAATAGAAATTCTAGAGTGTGAGTTTTACCTGGAAAGTTTGGAGAACGAAAACTGACACAACTATGAGTAAATAAACAGATTTACAGTACAGGCCAAAAGTTTGGACACACCTTCTCATTCAATGCGTTTTCTTTATTTTCATGACTATTTACATTGTAGATTCTCACTGAAGGCATCAAAACTATGAATGAACACATGTGGAGTTATGTACTTAACAAAAAAAGGTGAAATAACTGAAAACATGTTTTATATTCTAGTTTCTTCAAAATAGCCACCCTTTGCTCTGATTACTGCTTTGCACACTCTTGGCATTCTCTCCATGAGCTTCAAGAGGTAGTCACCTGAAATGGTTTTCCAACAGTCTTGAAGGAGTTCCCAGAGGTGTTTAGCACTTGTTGGCCCCTTTGCCTTCACTCTGCGGTCCAGCTCACCCCAAACCATCTGGATTGGGTTCAGGTCCGGTAACTGTGGAGGCCAGGTCATCTGCCGCAGCACTCCATCACTCTCCTTCTTGGTCAAATAGCCCTTACACAGCCTGGAGGTGTGTTTGGGGTCATTGTCCTGTTGAAAAATAAATGATCGTCCAACTAAACGCAAACCGGATGGGATGGCATGTCGCTGCAGGATGCTGTGGTAGCCATGCTGGTTCAGTGTGCCTTCAATTTTGAATAAATCCCCAACAGTGTCACCAGCAAAACACCCCCACACCATCACACCTCCTCCTCCATGCTTCACAGTGGGAACCAGGCATGTGGAATCCATCCGTTCACCTTTTCTGCGTCTCACAAAGACACGGCGGTTGGAACCAAAGATCTCAAATTTGGACTCATCAGACCAAAGCACAGATTTCCACTGGTCTAATGTCCATTCCTTGTGTTTCTTGGCCCAAACAAATCTCTTCTGCTTGTTGCCTCTCCTTAGCAGTGGTTTCCTAGCAGCTATTTGACCATGAAGGCCTGATTGGCGCAGTCTCCTCTTAACAGTTGTTCTAGAGATGGGTCTGCTGCTAGAACTCTGTGTGGCATTCATCTGGTCTCTGATCTGAGCTGCTGTTAACTTGCCAATTCTGAGGCTGGTGACTCGGATGAACTTATCCTCAGAAGCAGAGGTGACTCTTGGTCTTCCTTTCCTGGGTCGGTCCTCATGTGTGCCAGTTTCGTTGTAGCGCTTGGTTTTTGCGACTCCACTTGGGGACACATTTAAAGTTTTTGCAATTTTCCGGACTGACTGACCTTCATTTCTTAAAGTAATGATGGCCACTGGTTTTTCTTTAGTTAGCTGATTGGTTCTTGCCATAATATGAATTTTAACAGTTGTCCAATAGGGCTGTCGGCTGTGTATTAACCTGACTTCTGCACAACACAACTGATGGTCCCAACCCCATTGATAAAGCAAGAAATTCCACTAATTAACCCTGATAAGGCACACCTGTGAAGTGGAAACCATTTCAGGTGACTACCTCTTGAAGCTCATGGAGAGAATGCCAAGAGTGTGCAAAGCAGTAATCAGAGCAAAGGGTGGCTATTTTGAAGAAACTAGAATATAAAACATGTTTTCAGTTATTTCACCTTTTTTTGTTAAGTACATAACTCCACATGTGTTCATTCATAGTTTTGATGCCTTCAGTGAGAATCTACAATGTAAATAGTCATGAAAATAAAGAAAACGCATTGAATGAGAAGGTGTGTCCAAACTTTTGGCCTGTACTGTATGTATTTATTTATTTGTTTATTTATTCCTGTATTTATTTATACATGTATTTATTTATATATTAATTTCTTCCTGTATTTATTTATTTATACATGTATTTATTTATATATTAATTTCTTTATTCCTCTTATTATTTATACATGTATGTATTTATTTATACATGTATTTATTTATATATTAATTTCTTTATTCCTCTTATTATTTATACATGTATGTATTTATTTATTTGTTTATTTATCTCTGTATTTATTTAAACATATTTGAGTCAGCCTCCCTATGTTGGGGCACTTGTCCCTGTGTATTAGCTGCAGCATGTGGCTGAGCCCAGTCAGTGGACGCTGAGTTGTGTCTGAACGTTGCTGCTGTAAATCACTAGTTTCATATATGTCCAGTCTGACATTGTGACAACAGAGCAGTGTGTGTTGCTGCAGTGAGGAGTCAGTGTCTCGGCCAGGTTCACTTTGTTTCCTGAGCATTTTATCTCTCAGCAGCCTCGTCTGTATGTGTCGTGTGCATCTGTCTGTTGATCGGCAAAATGTTTTCACGCTGCTGATCTGCTCCAGAGACCAGTCCGTATTGTCACTGACTCTTTCTTGGCTACTTGTGATCATCTGCCTCGTGCTGTCTGACGGTGACACAGGACAGTAGTGGGAATGCAGTCACAGCTAACTGTAGAGTGTGTCGCTGCAGAGATGTGACCAAACTGTGTCCCAGAGAAGACAGAATTAAAGTCTCGCTGCAGCCATTAGGGAAGACGAATAAATAATAGAGGACATGGAATACATAAATGTTTATTTGTTTGTGTATATGTGTGTGTGTGTGTGTGTGTAGGTGATGATCCCATCAACACAAAGCACCTTCATCCCAGACAAGCTGTGTGTGCTGCTGGATGATGCCAAAGAACTGGCCGCACAGACGACCCTGTGGAACCTTGGTACTGTTCACACACACACACACACACACAGATTTCTGATCCGTCTTGGCTGTTAGCTGGATGTTTACTTGCTGTATGCATAAACAGTGTGTTTACACACGCCATAAGAGTAAACAGGGCCGAGGTGATGCAGCCTGTGCCGCACAGCTTCACACAGCCTGAGGAGCTCAACACGCTGCCACATTTACATTTCACTTCAGGAGTTACAGTCGGGAAGTAAAAACTTTAACCAGCCAGGTCTCTGAGTTTAGACACAAAAACAAAAACAACATATTTGCTCCTCGTGTGTTTGTTTGATGTTTCTTTGACAAATGGCTCATTAAAGAGTTGATTATTAGCAGCTGGCTGTGACATCAGAGGTGGCGACTCGTTAGGGCTGAGATCACCAAGTCAGTGTGATGATTAACTGCCATATTTACCTCTGTAATGACCACTGTAACAATGTCTTGATAAGTGCACCCGCACACAGGATCGTCTGTCCTCACTGTGGACCTCTGACTGTTTGTATGTCCCGTACAAAAAAACAGAAAACAGTGGATTATGATTCATTTAATCACATGTAGCAGTTCAGAATAGGGATGCACACGATTAGACGGCTAAATGATTAAATGTGACCCCCTTGCTAGTCAGCACCAGAAATATTAGTTGGTTAAACCAATCAGTGTTTTATTATTTCTTTCTGGCTCTCAACGAAGGCGGACGCTTTTTCTCTTGGTCCCTCCCTTCCCCTATCTGCCCTGCCTGCTGCCCGTCTGCTTGTCTCGTGCTGTCTCTGTCTGATCTATCGGAGCCTCTCTCTGCATTTCTCTCCGAAAACTAATACCTTGGATTTTATTAGCTGGTCTCTCAACGCAATTGACCAAATTTTCTCGACAAGGAGACTGGGCAAAGGAGAGCCCGCCTGCCCTGACGGAACGTTTGCAGCCGGATACACGATGGACTCCTGGGAGAAGTGGAGCATCGTGTGCCTGTCGATCCTTTCCGTTGAGGATGCTGAAGACGTCTACATAATTGGAATTATGATAACAGGCATTCTGCTGTTTGGAGTTAGCAGCTTCCTGATCTATCGCAAAGTTCAGAAGACGTTGGCAGCACTTTTGGCAATTGAGAAGCTGCCCGTCATGACTGAGGGAACGTGCAGGGCTGTCAACACTCAGACTCAAGCGATATGTGAGTTCAGTCGCAAGCTGGGTGCGATTCCTGAACTCCTTCGCAAGATGGATGCCAACTTGGAGAAGTTGTCAGCCCGGCTCTGCTGAAACTGGCCACCAATTCGGACATATTGGAAGCAAGCCACCGGGAGACTCAGAGAGACTCAAAGGCAGACGACAAATTGCAGTGTCGGCCTGACCCAAAACAACTGTTACCTTCATTGGCTCTAAATAATCAATAAAATAATAAAATGTTCTTAAATCATGTGAATGATATATGAACGAAGCCCTCTGTGGAAACCTTCAGAATATAGACAGGAATCAAACTGGACAATCTGGTGAATATAAGAGCTGCTGAAGTNCTCTCCGAGGTCGTCTCCACGGCAACGGCCGTGTCTTCGTCATCAGTTATCAGACGGCAGAGACAATGGGTTGGGACTGAGTGGAGATGAAGTACATGGACTTACACATACACACACATGAAGACACATAACACCCACACCCCGTCCAACTCAACGTCGCAGTGTAGCATAGGAGGGTGATGCGATGCGCCCAAATGTGGCTGCGTGCGCCCCCCAGTGTCTGTGCTGCGACACCTCCCCTCCCCAACACCCCCCCCCATATGTGCAAGTCTTTGAGTTTTGTTGTAATGTCTTATTATGTTGCTTATGTGCTGAGGTGTTTTTGTTCCTATTCCCACACTGTGTACAGGAGCCTAGTTTGGGAGATGCTTTTTTTCCCCCTCTTCCTCCCTCTTGTTCTCCTTTTTTCATCTAAGTAAACGGGGCGCTGCTCGTGTGGCGACCCACAGTTCTCCCGCTCCTGTCCTCCCCTGTTCTGTTGTGTGGGGGTGGGAGGGGCAGGTTTTCAATATTTGTTGTATTTTTTTTTTTTTTTTGTATGTTTTTAGTTTGTAAAGCGCTTTGGGGTTGCATTTTTGATGTATGAAAGGCGCTATATGAATAAAGTTTGATTGATTGATTCATGTACAAGGCAGCTTAACTGTCATGCAGCTGCCTGCCACTAGTAGGTGCTACAGAGCCATCAGACAGCAGGCTCCAAAGGGCTCTTAATGCACACAGTATGTTTGGGACAGTGTTTCAAATACTTAACAATAAATTGTGTTAAATTTTGACTGTTTTCTGAGTGTTTCCCTTTTTTAGACTCGACTACTGTTAATTAAAAATTTCGTTGACAGGGAAATTAGTCGCCAGGAACATCCCTAGTTCAGAACCAGTGAAGCCAACCTGGCAACTTTAATGCAAGATTTGGCAACTTTTTCAAACCCTCTCAGGCCATGATCACACAGAAAGCATTTTGCAGGTTGCAGGTTGACTCGGTGGCAGTTTGACAACCTGCTGTCTATCGTCAAGCTGTATAGCTCTGGGTATCCAGCAACCGCTACCGCCAGTTGCCAACTGTAAACTTGTTGTCGTGACCACCACAGAAGCCCCGCCTCTCAAATCATCTGGTTAGACAATGGGAAAACAGATGATGAAAAAAGAGAAGACATGGGGCGCTTTTCTGCTTTGAGTTTAAGTTATTCAGCTCGAGGAGTTCAGAGCTGTCCGGCAAAAACACCAGGCACCTAGAGTGCAGAAACACGAGGCGCGTCGCAAAAACAGCGGGCAAAAAGCTTCATTCTCATGAAAAACAAGTACAAAAGCCGCCTCCAGCTGCTGATATACTTTCTGTGGGATCAGGGCCTCCGCTAGTCTCTGAGCTAGCCCCGACTCTCCGTTTAGATCCAACCGGAGCACCGAGCCCTGGTTTGTTATTCAGGTTCAAGTGGGAAGAAGCAGCGGGTTTATCGGGCAGCTGAGTGAAGTGGAGCCTGCGGAGGAAACACCGGGACCGTCTGGATGTAATAGTCCGTGGAGGTGCTGCGGTGCTCGGCTGCACAGATAGGAAACCCCTCGGCTGACAGGATGTACCACTCTCTCACACCGCTCTCTCTCACGCAGGCGCAGAACGTACGTGCTACTTGGCCGTCGGATGTAGTCCGTGTAGTGTGTTCAAATGCAACTGACACAGGGCGACGTGAGGCGACGTAGACGACGCAACAGTTGGCTTTCGTCACTGCTAGTTCTTTGATGTCAGTTTGGTGTGTCCGCACCTTCAGAGACTTTATTTCTAAAAAGCGTCTAGCAACAAATTTAGAGACTTGTTAAGACTATCGGGAAACATATAAATTAGATTGTGTTTAATTCCCGTGCATGCTGCTCAGAGGAATCAAAGTCAACGGCTGCTCTGCTAAATCTCTCATCTCTGCTTTTGCACAGCAGCACTGTGCAGGTACCGACTAGGCCTTAGCGTCCTTCTTGTCTTCACTGAAATGTGAGTCATGCTTCTAGTTTATAGAAGCTGATAAGAGACCTGCATGATTACTGCGCTTCCAGAATTCACAAAAACCGCAAAGTATGATTGATCACTGTGACCAGTGACTCACTTTGAGTTACTGTTTCCATCAAAGCAGTCTGGTGGCTTTAACCAGAGCATAACATAAAGGTGTCAGCTGGGTGTTGTAAAGGGCTGCCTGACAGCGCTGAAGCAGTGAAAGTATTCTACATATAGCCTACACTTAAACTGGTGATGGTTTATTCCAGGTGGTCCTATGTTTGTGTGGCTAAAACACATTTTGCTGCTGCCTCCGTCCACAGTCACCTGACTTCCTTGACAGAAACAGTCATTGAACCTCAGCTCTCACATCATTCAGATGCTTTGTTGAGGGGGTTTGTTGTTGGATTTAATCCACCAAAGTTGTGAAATGGTTCCAACATGTCAGAGTATCATTGAGAACCTATCAGGATCAAGTGTCGGGCAATCAAAGGATGTTACAGTTCAAGATATCCTGTTGGAAAATGAGAAGGACAGAGAGAGTCCAGTGTATTCTCCAGCATGTTGGCTCCGGCCATCAGAAGTGTGATTTACTCTCTCTGAGTGATTCACTACTGAAGGACGAGGTCATGTGATGATGTGCTCCCCTGATTGACACCAGACCCCACCCCACCTTGACTTTTATTTCTTCAGTTTGTTCAGTGTCACAGGATTTTCCCTGGCAGTGATTTCAGACTGCGGCAGAGTGAAGCAAATGTTGTGACTGAGCTCATAAAGCCGAAGAAGTGATGCTGTAAAATGTAATATAGTTTAACTGCTCCGTGTACTGTGTGTGTGTGTGTGTGTGTGTGTGTGTGGTCAAAGCAGCTGTTCTCATGAGATATTAATAATCATGGCCCTTGCTTACAGAAAGTATACAGTGGACAGTTAATGTGTATACATATATATATATATATATGTATATATATATATATACTTTATTCATGCATTTTAAAGCAGTCTCTTTGTATTCATATAGAGCTGGATGTGTTTCAGCAGCCTGTGTTTGCATTATTACTTTTTTACTGTCTCAATCTAACCGTCATCATTTATTCACATTCACATTATTATTTCCTTTTGTTCTGCTGAAATTAAACTGGGCTGGACGGCAAATAGCACGCTGAGAGGAACCTGGGCCGATGTGAGCGCCGCTGAGTTTTCATGAGTTCTTTAATTCCCTGCTCACCTGACTGCAGCAGAGAGGCAGCGGTTAGCTGACGTGTTGTGTCGTGTGTTGACTCACAGCTGCTACGTGTCTGAGCTGGTGCCATCTGGAGCTCCCTGTTGATCAAAGCCCAGCTGCAGGAACAACGTGTCGTAGATTTGAGGAGTTCTGCTCAAAATGAGATCTTTGAAACAAATATCAGCAGCTGCAAACAGATCAAACAGATCTGCATCACTAAATCAGTCACATCCTCTGAGTCGTTACCTGCTGGAGTCAGTGTTACAGAAAGTTGGCATCGTAGAGAAGGCGTGATAAACTTTTCAGAGCACAACGAGAATTTAACATGGTTTCCCTCACTGACCTGCAGGCAGCAGGTTCTTGTCTCAGCTGCTCTCTCATGTCCCTGCGCTGCGAGGCTCCGCCCACCAGCCAAACCACACACAATTAAAACAGTTTCTCTGACACTCTGAAGAGGAGAGTTGCTGCTGGACGTTGGCCCTGTGTGGACACTTTTAATCAAACTCTTGTTACACCACGAGTTACTTATTGTTCTCTGAGCTCCGGAGGGAGCAGAGTCTCTGCAGCTGATGGAGCTCAGCCCCTCGCTCCTCCTTTATCTCCCTCCGTCCCATCGCTGCAGGACCTCATGCATTTTTAATGTCTCTCTCTTCATTTGCAGAAGGGCTTAATGACTTGATTAAAATTAATTGAAATAATTGTGATTTCACTCTGTCCAGTGTTGCACGTGCCATTTGAGCTCTGATTATTCCTATAAATTAGATCCAGCTTTGTTGTTTCACACAGTTTTTAGTTTTAAAACATTTGCACCAAGTATCTTGTGTCTACGTGACGTTTACCAACGGTGCTGTTTCCACTGCGGCCCGTCTTCTTCTTTTTCTTTCTGCCTTTGCTGCATGTCATAGCCCTAGGGCTGGGCGGTATGATAAAATTTTCATATCACGGTTTTAAGAAAAAATCATATCGGTTTCACGGTATTTCACGGTGTTTTGCTCAGGTTCGGCCAACTTGACATGCTGCTGTGTTGTGTGGGAAACACTGCCCTTTTTGGTACGAGTTCTTCTGGGTCATTGTGTACACTTTGCTTTCAGGACTGTCTCCGGCAGCCATTCTCGCCTCTAAACTTTTCTATATGCTCTCACTCTCACCCGCTCAAGCGTGCCTGTGGTGTGCAGCGGTGAAATGCGTCCCTGCTGAAACACTTTCCTGCCGCGCACGTTCCGGACGTTGTTTGGGCTATTCACCGGTATTGCGGTATATGAAAAATTCATATCATAACGAAAATAAATACCGGTTTTCGGTACAAATCGGTATACCGCCCAGCCCTACATAGCCCCTCTCCCCACTTAATGCTGTCGCTGCCCTATCAAATGAAGGGCCCCAAAAAATATCTTAAAAATTGGGTCATGTTTTCTGTATTCACGAGAAAAGTCCATATGAACGCCTGACTTGTGGTTTTCACGACGAAGTTTGCTGAACGCTTAGAGTTCACAAGTGGTGACATGTTTCCTGACGTCTTCAGGGATGGCGAAAGCCACGGAAGTTATTGTTTCAGTGTCTTGTCTGTCCATTCTGTCCTATTCTCATGAACACAGTATCTCTACAACGCCTCAGATTTGGCACAAACATCCACTTGGACTCAACAATTAACTGATTAGGTGGTTGACGGTTAAAGGTCAACATCACTGTGACCTCATCTGTATAATTCTTGTGAATGCAACATTTCAAGAATACTTTGAGGAAGTTTTTAGAATTATTTTTATTTCTTTTCTTTTTTTTTTTTTTTTTCAAATTTGGCACAAACGTCCATTTGGAGTGAAAAATAAACTGATTATAATTTGGAGGTCAAAGGTCAGTGTGACCTCAAAAAACATGTTTTTGTCCATAACTGAAGAATTCATTCACTAATTCTGACCAAACTTGACACAAATGTCTAACAGGATAAAATAATGAAGGTCAAAAGGTCAAAGGTCAGCTTGACTGTGACATCATCATGTTCTAACGTCATATCTCAGGAACAGAAGGGGAGACATTTGTCATACAGCCACGGGACAGTGATTCTAGTGTTGGGGGAGTTTTCCCTGCCCTGAGTGGAGGGTGTGAGGACAGAAGGAGTTTGCTGTACAGACTGTTTGAGGCAAATGTGTGATTTGTGACACTGGGCTGCACAAACAAACAAACGAGGCCAACTGGAAAACGTCTCTGTGTCACAACAGTTTGTATCCTCTTTAAAAGATGTGGGGACTGAACCTCAGTCAAAGACCGGACAGTAAACCTCAGTGCTTGTTGTGTTACTGTTGTTTTCCTTCTCTTTGTTGCCCCTGACTTCTTCACCCGTGACCTTCAGAGTGTAAAATGGTACAAAGCTCTTAAAGTTCTGATTCGCTGTAAAGATGATGAATCGTTGAGCATTAACTTAAAAGTTTCGTCCCATTCGGTGGTATTTAGTGATTTATTGCAGCACGTTTAAAGTGACCCTGTGGAGTTTTCTCGTTAGCAGCAGTGTGTGTCTCAGCGTGTCCTCGACGCCCAACAGCAGGCTGAGAGCATTCACAGCTCTGAGTCTGTCAGCACAGTGAAACCTGCAGTCTTCACACCAGCTATTGATTTACATCCAGAGGGACTGTTGCATTCTTTACTTCCTCTCGCTCCATCCTTTCCCCCCCATCATCCCCCTGTATCCCGCTCTTCCTCCCTCCATGTTTTCCTCCTCCTCACCCCCCTCTCCTCTCTCTCTCTCTCTCTCTCTCCTCACAGACTCATCCATCCTGAGCTCAGTGGCTTCCTGTGATTCCCCCAGCAGCTCTTCTCCTCCGCTCGCCGCCCCCGCCTCCGCCACCTCTCCCGGGATACTGACCTGCGGCGGCAGAGCCTTCGCCTCCTGCCTCTCTCCTCCTCCTCCTCCTCCCCCTCTCTCTCCCTTCACCCTCTCTCCTGCCCTCTCCTCTCTGTCCTCGCTCCCCCCGGCTGCCTCCCAGACTCCAAGGCTCTACATCAACTCCCAGTCGCCTTTCTACTGACGGTGAGACGCACACATGACTGTATAATGCTGAAGTGTTAAACTGTGGGCGCCACACGGGTTTATGTTTCCTGCTGCACACAGCTGTTTGTGAATTCACCACAATAACCTATGAATGCATTAATCACGTGTTCATGCTCCAAAAATGCTTTATTTAGCAGGTATTTGCTGAAAACATAATGAGCATGGAGAATAAATGATGACTTAAGTATAAAAGTAAATGTGGAAATACATAAATGTATGAATAAATACAAGATCAAATAAATAGGGAAATAAATAAGTAACTCTTTAAATAAATAAAGGAATAAAAAATTAATGCCGGAATAATTTAAAAAATGTGTAAATAAATACAGAAATAAATGAATAATTGAATGAATAAAGGAATAAAAATAAATATGGAAATTATTTTAAAAATGTATGATAAATACAAGAATGAATAAATACAGAAATAAATGAATGAAACAATATAGAAATAAAAAGTAAAGAGGGAAATTATTTAAAAATGTATGAAAAAGCACATGAATGAATAAACATGGGAAGAAAAAACTGTTTCAATAAATAAAGGAATAAAAAATAAAAACAGAAATAAATCTTTAAAAAATATGGAAATAAAGGAATAAGTCCACGCTAAAATATATAGAAATAAATTAAGGCATTGAGTAATTGAGCTTATAAATAGATTAATGCATGAATAAATAGATAAGTTAAAGTTGAGTTAAACAGGACAAAAATAAATATCATGATTTCATTTATACATATTTTTTATTCCTGTGTTTGTAAATAAAGCAGGAGATCCTGACTGTTTTCTTTTTTTAAATATATATTATAAATATAAACACACATTAAACACACAATAAACATGCCTTAAAGGGATAGTGCACCCAAAAATGTAAATTCAGCCATTATCTACTCACCCATATGCCGAGGGAGGCTCAGGNTGCCTTAAAGGGATAGTGCACCCAAAAATGTAAATTCAGCCATTATCTACTCACCCATATGCCGAGGGAGGCTCAGATGAAGTTTTAGAGTCCTCACATCACTTGCAGAGATCCAAGGGGAGAGGAGGTAGCAACACAACTCCACCTAATGGAGGCTGACGGCGCCCCAGATTCAAACGTCCAAAAACACATAATTGAAACCACAAAATATCTCCATACTGCTCGTCCGTAGTGATCCAAGTGTCCTATAAATTGTGTATAAAAAGTGTATAAATTAGCCTAGCAGCTAGCAGAGTTTTCCTTTACTCATATGAAGTCAGGATAAATCACACACAGAAGTCTTGGGATGCTGTTGTGTGTGGAGGCTTTACTGTCTTCACATTTTATTGTTTCTTATCTGTGAAATGGTTTATGGCTTTAAACACGACACAGGAGCTCTGCTGTGCATTGTCGTGACATTTCTGGAGAGGTGTATGTCAGGCTACAGCCTATGTGAAGGCTCAGGGTACAGATCTACGCACAGTGTTAGTGTGATGCAGAAGTATAAATCCCACTTTAGTCAGAACAAGTCCGTCACTCCTCTTTTTCCTGGCTGCACATTTTTCTTACTCTCTGGATGTTTCTTTGGTCTTTAAAATGTTTGGACTTTAGAGAAACACATTGCAGCTGTCGTATCTTCTTACTGTCATGTTTGATCCCAGTGAGGTAAAGATGTGACGTGTTGTTGCAGGAGGATTCAGCGGTGAGGGAAGCATCTGAGGACGAGGAGGAGGAAAGGCAGGCCTGTCTCTATTATGATTACACCTCCACATATTTCCCCAAACACACAGTCCATCTGTTTGTTTCTACTCTGTGCTAAATGTAATCTCAGTCCGACGATCAGCCGCTCGGCTTCTCCTCTCTATCACCTCTGATTCTGAAAACTAAACACAACAAAGGCAGACGCTGCTCAGATCCCACAGAAAGACATCCAGCTGATAAAATATGTTTTCTTGACCTCTGGTAAATGTCAGTGTCCTCCTCCTCTCCTCCTCTCCGGCTTTATTTTCCTTCAGTCACCTCAAAGTACCCACAAGGCATCACATCCATACTTCAGATATCAATGTTGAAACAAACCTGCCGTCAAATCTCTGCTGTTTTGTGTCAGTTTAATATATTTTTCAAAGGAAACTCGTCCATTTGAGAACAAAATCTGCAAGAATTTTCATTCAAAGACACGAGATTGTTTCCTCCGTAACAACTGAACTGATCGTCTCCTCTGTGAACGTGTTTAGGCTGAAACGTAAAGTTGTTGGACCGTCGTACACAGCTATGTTGGAGTGAACAACACAGAAAGTATGAAGTGTCCAAAGGACGGAGAGATTAAAAGACGAGCTTTTCCACTACATTAAAATCTGATTTCCATTTTCCTTTCATCCTCCCATTACACCACTCGTCTCCTGAGAGAGCTAAAAACAGAGAGACGACGAAGGAGGAGGAGGAGGACTTATCTATCTTCTTCTTCTTTCAGAGGAATGTTTGTGGCGACTCATCTCCTTTCATGTTTGTGTTAACCTGAGTTATGTAAGGGGAGGAAGAGAGACCACGAAGTGTCCGTCCAGTTGACGGTCAGCCTCCTGAGAGAGTCGACATCGATCAACACAACAAATCTTAAAGTAAGAAACAGAGAGCGGGATATTTCTCACCATGTCTCTTAATTCACTCGACCCACCTCACACTTCAGAAATATGAGGATGAAGGAAAAAAGAGGGAAGATTAAAAATGTTTTTACACCAGATCGAGTTCTTGTTCTCGTTTTAGTCGAATGTAAACCACGTTCACTGAGTAAGCAGACCAAGCAAAGAGAGAACTCCGTTAGATGTGTTTCTCTTGCCTCATTCGATGGTTTCCTCGTCATGCTTTCACATTACAATCCTGTGGAAAATAAATAAATATCGGGAAATTACCAGTAAAACAATTTTAATGAGATGTGTCGGTCTCATTAAAACACAGAGATCCTGGGAGTTTATCAAGGTTAGTTTAAATTCTGCAATAAAAATGAATTCATTAAAAACAAATTCAAAAAAGAATAAATAAAACATCCAGTAATTGAGAAGATGTAATAGATTACTTTCAAGATCCTGAGACTTTTATCCCCCTTAAATTCAACAATTACAAATCTACTCATGAAAAACAAATGAAGTAGAAAATAAAGACAGAATAAATTAAACAAGTTTGAATCGATAAAAAATAAATTTAATAAATGATCCTGGGCCTTTCTGGGAAATTCTGCAGTTAAAAATTTAAAACATTAAAATCAAATGAATAAAAAACAGAATAAATGAATAAAATCTAAAGTAAATGAATTGAAAGATTCTGGGATATTTATAAACTTTAAATTTGGCAAGTTTAAATATTACAAAAGTTGATTTATTAAAAAATTAATAAAAATAAAAATAAATAAAACATGCAGTGCATTTATTTAAATGTTAATACCTTTAATCCAACAGCAGAGATCACCCAGAAGGTTTCAAAATGACATTCAAACTTTTTTAATTTATTTTGTTAAAAACAACATGCACAGGAAATAGCTGAAAAAGTAAAATATGAGAAGTCCAACTACTTGAAACAGTTTTAAAGAGTTTAGTTTGGTGATTGAGAGCCAGAGAGGAGGAGGACGTTTCTTCATCAGAGGCAGAGCACGGACATGGTTTTATTTTAAAGGCTAAATAAGAACAAACATTATAAACGTTACATTCACACTTTAATTGGATGAATCGGAGAGTTTGGAGGAAAATGAAGTGACTCAGGTTTGAGGGGTGAAGTGGTTTTATTGATCTGTTTGAAGGAACAGGTTTAATGGTTTTTCTTTATGTTCATGTTTATTGATTTCAGACTGATGAGTGTTCAGGTAAATGTTTCTGTGTATATTTATACCATCACTGTTTGAACAGTTTTACAGTCAGTCAGAGTGTTTTATGATCCTTCAGTTCGCTCTGTTTCAGTGCTGATTTAAAGTTCAGTGTGTGTGTGTGTGTGTAGAGTTGTGCTTGTAGCTCCTCAGCACGTCTCTCAGGTGTCATTTATTAAAAACACATTTCTGTTTGTTGAATTAATTTTGAGAGTTTAAAAGTACAGAGATTATCTTACATCTACATTTTCCTTTTGTCCCTGATGTTTTTTATTCAGTGAACAAATTCAAAAACACAGCGATTTTCTTTTCATGTGTTTTTAATCTAAAACTGTGTATTCAGATTACTGATGCTAATTAATAATTAAAGGAAACAGAATAATTACAACAACAGTATTTTAACAAAAGGCCTTTTATCCAACAATCCACAGAACAAAAAATCAGGAAATCATCACTAAAAGAACGATCTGTAAATAAATGTCACCCTATTTATTTAAACTTTAGTGTCACGCCCACTTTAAATTAAAAACAAAGAATGAAGAGTTTGATTTCAAAATAAGAGCTCAGCGCGGAATTTATTGTTAGAGTGAATCTGTTTCTGTCAGTGATGAAAGTGAAGGAGCAACGTTCAAAACATTCAGTGTTTAGAAATAAATGTAATGGTTTAAAAGTGTGTGTTTGTTGTAGTGTTGTGAGTGAGTGGAGCGAGGGAGTGGAGTGAGAGTGAGTGGAGCGAGGGGAGTGAAGGAGTGGAGTGAGGGAGTGAGTGGAGCGAGTGAGGGAGTGAGTGGAGTGAGTGGAGCGAGTGAGGGAGTGAGTGAGTGGAGTGAAAAAGTGAAGGAGTGGAGTGAGGGAGTGAGTGGAGCGAGGGGAGTGAAGGAGTGGAGTGAGGGAGTGAGTGGAGCGAGTGAGGGAGTGAGTGAGTGGAGTGAAAGAGTGGAGTGAGGGAGTGAGTGGAGCGAGTAGAGTAAGAGAGTGAGTGGAGTGAGGGGAGTGAAGGAGTGGAGTGAGGGAGGGAGTGGAGTGAGTGGAGTGAGGGGAGTGAGGGAGTGATGGAGTGGAGTGAGAGAGTGAGTGGAGTGAGGGAGCGAGTGGAGCGAGTGTGGGAGTGAGTGGAGTGAAGGAGTAGAGTGAGTGGAGTGAGGGAGTGAGTGAGGGGAGTGATGGAGTGAGTGGAGTGGGGGGAGAGGAGTGAGGGAGTGGTGTGAGTGGAGTGAGGGAGTGAGTGGCGTGAAGTGAGTGGAGTGAGTGGAGTGAGGCAGTGAGTGGAGTGAGTGAGTGGCATGGAGTGAGGGGAGTGAGGGGAGAGGAGTGAGGGAGTGAGTGGCGTGAAGTGAGTGGAGTGAATGGAGTGAGTGGTGTGAGTGGAGTGAGGGAGTGAGTGGCATGTAGTGAATTGAGTGAGTGAGTGGTGTGAGTGGAGTGAGTGGCATGGAGTGAATGGAGTGAGTGAGTGGAGTGAGGAATTTAGGGAGTGAGTGAGTGGAGTGAGGGAGTGAGGAGAGTGAAGGAGTGGAGTGAGAGAGTGAGGGAGTGAGGGGAGTGAAGGAGTGGAGTGAGGGAGTGAGTGGAGTGAGGGGAGTGAAGGAGTGGAGTGAGTGAGGGAGTGAGTGGAGCGAGTGGAGTGAGGGGAGTGAAGTGAGGGAGTGATGGAGTGGAGTGAGAGAGTGAGTGGAGTGAGGGAGCGAGTGAAGGAGTGAGTGGAGTGAAGGAGTGAGGGAGTGAGTGGAGCGAGTGGAGTGAAGGAGTGGAGTGAGAGAGTGAGGGAGTGAGTGAGGGGAGTGATGGAGTGGAGTGAGGGAGTGAGTGGAGCGAGTGAGGGAGTGAGGCAGTGAGTGGCATGGAGTGAGGGAGGGAGTGAGTGGAGTGAGTGGAGTGAGTGGTGTGAGTGGAGTGAGGGAGTGAGTGGCATGTAGTGAATTGAGTGAGTGAGTGGTGTGAGTGGAGTGAGTGGCATGGAGTGAATGGAGTGAGTGAGTGGAGTGAGGAATTTAGGGAGTGAGTGAGTGGAGTGAGGGAGTGAGGAGAGTGAAGGAGTGGAGTGAGAGAGTGAGGGAGTGAGGGGAGGGAAGGAGGGGAGGGAGGGAGGGAGTGAGTGGAGGGAGTGAAGGGAGGGAGTGATGGAGGGGAGTGAGGGAGTGAGTGGAGTGAGGGAGCGAGTGAAGGAGTGAGTGGAGCGAGTGGAGTGAAGGAGTGGAGTGAGAGAGTGAGTGGAGTGAGGGAGTGAGTGAGGGGAGTGATGGAGTGGAGTGAGGGAGTGAGTGGAGCGAGTGAGGGAGTGAGGCAGTGAGTGGCATGGAGTGAGGGAGGGAGTGAGTGGAGTGAGTGGAGTGAGTGGCATGGAGTGAATGGAGTAAGTGTGTGAGTGGAGTGGTGTGGAGTGAGTGGCATGGAGTGAATGGAGTAAGTGTGTGAGTGGAGTGGCGTGGAGTGAGTGAGTGAGGGAGTGAGTGAGTCGAGTGAGGAATTTAGGGAGTGAGTAAGTGAGGGGGTGAGTGGAGTGAGGGTAGAGGAGTGAATGGAGTGAGTGGCGTGGAGTGAGTGAGTGACTGGTGTGAGTGGAGTGATGGAGTGAGTGGCATGGAGTGAATGGAGTGAGTGAGTGGAGTGAGGAATATAGGGAGTGAGGGAGTGGAGTGAGGAATATAGGGAGTGAGTGGAGTGAGTGAGTGGAGTGAGGAATATAGGGAGTGAGTGGAGTGAGGGAGAGGTGTGAGGGGAGAGGAGTGAGGGAGTGAGTGGCATGTAGTGAGTGGAGTGAATGGAGGGAGTGAGTGGTGTGAAGTGAGGTGAGAGGAGGGAGGAAGTGAGTGGCATGGAGTGAGTGAGGGAGTGAATGGAGTGAGGGAGTGAATGGAGTGAGTGAGTGGCGTGGAGTGAGGGGAGAGGAGTGGCATGGAGTGAGTGGAGTGAGGGGAGAGGAGTGAGGGAGTGGTGTGAGTGGAGTGAGGGAGTGAGTGGCATGTAGTGAGTGAGGGAGGGAGTGAGGGGAGAGGAGTGAGGGAGTGGTGTGAGTGGAGTGAGGGAGTGAGTGGCATGTAGTGAGTGAGGGAGTGAGTGAGGGGAGAGGAGTGAGGGAGTGGTGTGAGTGGAGTGAGGGAGTGAGTGGCATGTAGTGACTGGAGTGAGTGAGTGAGTCAAGTGAGGAATTTAGGGAGTGAGTAAGTGAGGGAGTGAGTGGAGTGAGGGAATGAGTGGCATGGAGTGAGGGGAGAGGAGTGAGGGAGTGAGTGGCGTGAAGTGAGTGGATTGAATGGAGTGAGTGAGTGACTGGTGTGAGTGGAGTGAGGGAGTGAGTGGCATGTAGTGAGTGGAGTGACTGGAGTGAGGGAGTGAGTGGCATGGAGTGAATGGAGTGAGTGAGTGGAGTGAGTGGCATGTAGTGAGTGGAGTGACTGGAGTGAGGGAGTGAGTGGCATGGAGTGAATGGAGTGAGTGAGTGGAGTGAGGAATGTAGGGAGTGAGTAAGTGGGTGGAGGGGGTGGAGAGAAGTGAGGGGGTGGTGTGAGTGGCATGGAGTGAGGGGAGAGGAGTGAGGGAGTGAGTGGCGTGAAGTGAGTGGATTGAATGGAGTGAGTGAGTGACTGGTGTGAGTGGAGTGAGGGAGTGAGTGGCATGTAGTGAGTGGAGTGACTGGAGTGAGGGAGTGAGTGGCATGGAGTGAATGGAGTGAGTGAGTGGAGTGAGTGGCATGTAGTGAGTGGAGTGACTGGAGTGAGGGAGTGAGTGGCATGGAGTGAATGGAGTGAGTGAGTGGAGTGAGGAATTTAGGGAGTGAGTAAGTGAGTGGAGTGAGTGGAGAGAAGTGAGGGAGTGGTGTGAGTGGCATGGAGTGAGGGGAGAGGAGTGAGGGAGTGAGTGGCATGTAGTGAGTGGAGTGAATGGAGGGAGTGAGTGAGGGAGTGAATGGAGTGAGGGAGTGAGTGGAGTGAGTGGCGTGGAGTGAGGGGAGAGGAGTGAGGGAGTGAGTGGCATGGAGTGAGTGGAGTGAGGAATTTAGGGAGTGAGTGAAGTGAGGGAGTGAGTGGCATGGAGTGAGTGGAGTGAGGAATTTAGGGAGTGAGTGAAGTGAGGGAGTGAGTGAAGTGAGTGGAGTGAGTGAAGTGAGGGAGTGGAGTGAGGGAGTGAGTGGCGTGAGGAATTTAGGGAGTGAGTGGAGTGAGGGAGTGGTGTGAGTGGAGTGAGTGGCGTGAATGGAGTGAGTGAGTGGTGTGAGTGGCGTGAGTGGAGTGAGGAATTGAGTGAGTGAGTGAGGGAGTGAGGGAGGAAGAAATAAAGAGAAAGGAATGAAAAAGAGCAAAAGAAATTGAGGAAAGGAAATAAAGGAAGGGGGAGAAGAAGGAATAAGATGGAGAAGAGGACAAAGGAAAGGGAAGAGGATGAAGGAAGAAGAAGGAAAAAGGGAAGGAAAAGAGGGAGAAGGAAGAAAGAAGGAAAGGAAGGAAGGAACAAGGAGGAAGAGGAAGAGGTAGGAGGGATGGGGAGGAAGAAGCAAATGAGGACGAAAAAGAAGGAAGGAGAAGGAAGGAAGGAATATGAGTGAAGAAAAGGAAAGTAGGAAAGGATGGAAAGGGAAGAAGAAGCAAAAAAGATGGGGAAAAAAGAAGAATGGCAAAGGAGGAAAGGAAGGAAGGAGGAAAAAGGAAAAACACGGGAAGAGAGGATGGATGGAAGGAAGAAAGGAAGGACGGAAGATGAGTAAAGATGAAAGGGAGGAAGGAACAAAGGACGAACAAGACAAAACAAGGAAGGAAAGGACAGAAGAGGAAGGATGAAGATGGAAAAAGAATGGAATAAGAACCAAGTAAGGGAGGTAAGAAGAAGGGATGAAGAAAGAAAGAAAGGAAGTTAGGAAGAAAGAAGGGATGAAGATGAGTAGAGGAAGAGGAAGGATGGAACGAGTCAGATAAAGAGCTCACATCCATCATGAGATCAGAGAGAAGCTGATGGTGAGTGTTCAGTGTGTGTGTGTGTGTGTGCGCGTGTGTGTGTGCTCAGACTGATCTCTTCCTTCTCTGACAGACGTTGCAGCTGAACCTGTCGGAGGAGCTTCTCACTCACCTCATCTCTCCAGAGGGAAGGAGACGACAGGTACGTGGACACGTGACGATCACACCTGTATTTACCTGCAGACACATCATCATTAGTGAAGTGCAGCACTGACGATGATCCACTTCCTGTCCTCACACGGACCCTGTGGGGGGGGGGGGAGTAACAGATATTAATTAATAAAGATGGAGGTGATGTAAATGCATGTGAAATGAAAAATGTAGTGATTAATTATCAAGTGATTTTAATAATTAAAAGCAGAGACATGTTTAATTATTTTCACCGTCTTACATTCATCATTTATCGTTTACACCACAAGTCTGCTGTTTTACATTTAAGGAAAGAGGCTTCAAGGCTTCGAGAAAAAAAGTTCAAGTAATGAAAATGCTTCTGAATTAACGGGTTGGTTTTTGATTGACGTTTGGGCCGGAGTAATAAAAGTAGATTTGAAAGATAAATGTCAGTTTGATGATGTGAATGATGAATGGAAGAAAACTCAAACAAATCACTACATGATTTATCACGGTTTTCATTTCGGGCGACACGGTGGTTTAGTCGTTAGCACTGTCAAATGACACTGACACTGGTATGTAGCTACATGTAGCAGAGCACTTACAGCCGGGGATTGACTGTGTATAGAGGCACTTCTTCCCATTTAAATTCACTAATAAAAGCTTTTAGACACAACCGGAAATCTTAAGCAAGAATATGATATGAAATCGGACAGATATTAACAACATTTGGCAACCACGATGACATATGTCCATGTCATTAGCTTGTAGCTACATGTAGCGGTGTACTTGTAGCTGAGGAATGACTCTCTCATTAAGATATATCGATGAAAGCTTCTAAACACAACAAGACATGCTCCAGCAGTAATATGATCTGAAATTGGGGAGAAGTTAACAACCTCAGCGAACAAAACCACATTTTTCTGACGTTAGCATTTAGCTACATGTAGCACTGTATTCCAAACTGGAGAATGACTGTGTACAGTGGTATTTTCTCCTGTTAAAACTTAACAATTAGAATTTCTAGACACTACCAGACATGTTCCAGCAGGAATAGGATCTTAATAAATTAACAACACTTGCAACCAAGATTACACACTTCCCTGACGTTAGCATGTAGGTACATGTAGCAGCTGGGGAATGACTATGTGTAGAGGCAGTTTCTCTCATTAAAGTTTATCAGTACAAGCTTCTAAACACAAAAAGACATGTTCCAGCAGGAATATGATCAGAAATCAGGGAGAAATTAACAACATTGGCAACCAAAACCACGCTTTCCTTTTGTTAGCTTGCAGCTACATGTAGCAGTGTACTCGCTGCTAGGAAATGACCAACGGCCTATTGATGCTTTATTTCATGAAAATTAAACAGTAAAAGCTTGTAGACAGAAGTATGCATGCTCCAACAGGAATATCATCCCAAACCAGGGAGATTATAACAACACTGGCAACCAAGATTATGTTTCCCTGACATTAGCATGTAGCTACATGTAGCTGTGTACAAGCAGCCAGGGACTGACTGTGTATAGCAGCACTTTTACCCATTTAAATTTACTAAAAGCTTTTAGACACAACCAGAAATGTTCAGCAAGATTATGATCTGAAATCAGGGATATTTAACAACATCAGCAACCAAGATACATGTTTCCATGGCGTTAGCTTGTAGCTATATGTAGCAGTGTACTCTTTTAAAGCTTTTAAACACAAAAAGACATGTCCCAGCAGGAATATGATCCATAACCGAGGAGGGACCAAGATTACACACTTCCCTGATGTTAGCATGTAGCTACATGTAGCAGTGTATGTAGTGAGTATTCAGGGTTGTCTGAAGCCTGTCTGCTCACAGGGATTACTTTAACATGTATTAACCTCATTTTTTGAAACTTTGACCACGTTTGATATGAACATGCTAACATTGTGACAGAAAATAAGTGAAAACATAAGAGCTCCTCTTTAGTCATCGTCAAACATGGCAGGTATTCAAGGTTGTGGCTGCGTTTGTGATGAGTTACTGTTGGAGAAACATGTGCCGTATGTTCACAAGTAGTTACAGTGAAAATAATATTCCTCTGTCTTACAGGTAAAGGCCACTGATGGGCTCTATGTTGTCTTAGATGAGTTTGTCCAGTGATCGCTCAGGTCAAAGGTCAAAGGAGCTGACAGCGGTGAGTGGTTTTATTTTATCATCCCTCCTGATGTGACTTTAAGACGTCCCTTACTCTTATTTCTGCTGTTTTAATTCAAGTTTGTTTGTTTAAATTCCAGTTGTTTCTGATATTGTTCTCGTTCATCCCTTGTTCTCTGTGTTTGCCTTTTTTAGCTCTAGTCTTTCTTCTTCTTCTTCTCCTCTGACTCAGATTTATAATCCCTGTTCACCTCCTCGCTCCTCTTGTTCTCTGCTCCGCTGTTCTCCTGTCAGCACTCACAGCTCAGCGCCTTTGTTGTAATCAGGTCTGTTGTTGGAGCTGTGTGTGTGTGTGTGTGTGTGTCTGATAGGAGAAGTTAGTTTCAGGTGTTTTTAGCTCTTTCTTGCTGTTTTTTGCTGTGTGATGGTTAAAGGACATCAAAGTGCTCTTTCTTTTCTTTTAACCTGCTGATGGAGAAAAACCGACCTCTGAAACCCCGTCTGTGTCTGTGTGTGTGTGTGTGTGTGTGTGTGTGTGTGTGTGTAATGGCTCTGCTGCCCTGTTTTATTATCATCATGAAAGCAGTCAGTTTGCACAGTCATACCGTCACACAGGGTCTCAAATTAACACCTGCCAGGCGCCAAATGCAGGTAGATGTTATGTTTGTCAAATGAATGTTGTCCACCACACTGACAGGTAAATGTTTGTGTTATCATTTTATAATAATATAATGTTTATTACTGTTTGTTTGTTTGTTTGTAGTGTTTCACCTCAGTGTCTGTCAGTTAGCATTAGCTAGTCACTTAGTGTAGTATCAACATTAGCCTGACTTATGCCTGGTTCACACGACACCACATGTCTGTCAGTTCTGACAGTCACTATGTCACATCAGGTGATTGTGGAGTCATTAAATCTGTCCGAGGGACACAGGAGGAGAGAAAAAGAAAGGGAGGAGAAGGAAGAGGAGGAGGACAACGGGAGAAGAAGAACTTAAGATGGGAGTTAAATGGAGGAGGGAACAAACAACAGGAGGGAGGAGAGACAGTAAAGATGAAGAAGAGGAGGAGGTGCAGCGGTTAAACAGAGGGGATTATGAAAATGGAAACGCAGCGGGAGAGAAGAAAAAGAAGTCTGATGTTTACAGCGTGTGTGTGTGTGTGTGTGTGTGTGTGTGTGTAATTAAGACGAGACACTGTGTGTGTGTGTGTGTGTGTGTGTGTGTGTGATTATCAGCAGGAGGGAACACGAGTCGACACAGTTAATGTTTAATAAGCTGAAGGTTTTTATGTAATTCACTCAGTCAGCACATTAACTGCACATTCTTCTTCTTCTTCTTCTTCTTCTGCTCTTTATTTTTTATCTCCATCAGCATAAAATCAGACCTCCCCAAAACTCATCTTCACAGTTTTACACTCCGTCCGTCCTCATTCAGCTCGTCTTCTTCTGTGGTGTTTGTTGCCTCTCTCAGCGCTGGGAGTTCATCCTCCAGTCAGACGTCTCCCCCGACACCTCACTGCAGACTGACTTTAGCGTAGCTCCGCCCACCTCGCTCCACAAATAACTGACAGAATCAAATATGGAGGATCTGGTCCTCGGTGTCCACATGAGTTTTTCTGCTGTAAAGCATCAGACCTTTGAAACGTAATATGAAGCAGTTATTAATAGAATCTGTCAGACGTCAAAGACACTTCCTGGTTTCATCATAAAAGAATCAGATTTAAAACCCACTGATGATGTCACTGATCACGCCGTAAGACCCACACGGACAGTTTTAAATAATATAATGAAAGCAGCAGAACTAGAGAGATTGTACTTTTCATAGAGACATAGAGATTCTTTCTTCTTATTATTCTTATTCTTAGAGCTGCCCCTGACCTTTATTTTCTCTCAATTAATTGATTAATCTATAAATTATTTTTTGTTGATTAATCTAAGGATTATATTTTTCTCGATTTATCTTTTTTTTTTTATAAATCTTACTGTTATTTTTTCTCAATTTATTTAAAATGAAAAAAATATTTTTTGATTAGTCTAACAAATATTTTTGTCTTGATGAATCTATCGATTTTTACTTCTCAGTTAATCTTATCTTAATATTTAATTCTTGATTAATCCAATGATGCATATTTGTTTGATTAATCTAACGATAATTTTGTTCTCAATTAATCAAAGTTATTTTTTACTCAGTATGTATTTTTTTCAATTAATTTAATATTTAGTTTTTTCTTGATTTATCAAACTTTTTTTTTTTGATTACTCTGTTATTTTTTCTCAATCTGCTGATTATTGTTTCTTGATTAATCTATCCGTTCCTTTAAATTAATCCACAAAAATTAAAACAATTTTTTAAAAAATCTTTGCATTGTTCTAAATAAATCTATGTATTATTTGTTGTCTTGACTAATCAAATGATTATATATATTATTATTATTATTATTATTATTATATCTCTCTCTCTCTCTCTCTCTGTCTCATTGTGTCATACGGATTACTGTTAATTTATTATGCTGATCTGTTCTGTACGACATCTATTGCACGTCTGTCCGTCCTGGAAGAGGGATCCCTCCTCAGTTGCTCTTCCTGAGGTTTCTACCGTTTTTTTCCTGTTAAAGGGTTTTTTGGGGAGTTTTTCCTGATCAGCTGTGAGGGTCATAAGGACAGAGGGATGTCGTATGCTGTAAAGCCCTGTGAGGCAAATTGTGATTTGTGATATTGGGCTTTATAAATAAAATTGAATTGAATTGAATTGAATTGAATTTCTTTTCTGGATTGATCTATAGTTTTTTATTGGCTTTATCTCATGATTATTTTTTGGATTTGTCGATATATCAAATGACTAATTTATCTATTATTCTAACGATTATTTTTTATTATTTGATTAATATAACGATTATTTTAATTTAAAAAAAAAAACAGAAATGTCTTCAAATCATCTTCAAAAAACTGATGAAAACGGTATATATCAAAATTAGTCTAATGTCCACATCACTTGTGTTATAATAATAATAATAATAGACCCCATTTGTCAGATATGTTAAACCTGGCCTCACATTCAAAAAGGATTGCTGTGACACATTCATTTAATTACACATGACTGATTAATGAAAGGTCACTGTGACCTTGTCTGTTTCATATTTGTGAATGTGATGTCACAGGAACACCTCAAAGGAACTTCAAATTTGGTGCAAATGTTTACTTTGACTCATCGATGAAGTGATTAGATTTTGATGGTCAAGGGTCAAAACTCAAGGTCACTGTGACCTTGCATCTGTCTTGTTCTCATGAACGTGATATATTCCAAAATACCTTTAGGGAATTTCTTTGAATTTGGAAAAAACGTCTGATTTGAATTTGTGGTCAAAGGTGACTGTGACGTCATAAAAACATGTTTTTGTCCATAACTGAAGAGTTCATATGGTAATTGTGACCAAACTTGACACAAATGTCTAACAGGATGAAATAATGAAGGTCAAAGGTCAGCTTGACTGTGACATCATGTTTTAACGTCATATCTCAGGAACAGAAGGGGAGACATTTGGTGATTTGGTGACTCTAATTTTCTGACATGGACATGGATGGAGTCAGAGACACTGGACTGATGGGCGGAGTCATACAACCACAGGGTGGACTGGTGGGTGGAGTCATACAACCACAGGATGGACGGGTGGGCGGAGTCATACAACCACAGGGTGGACTGGTGGGCGGAGTCATACAACCACAGTGTGGACTGGTGGGCGGAGTCATACGACCACAGGGTGGACTGGTGGGCGGAGCCATACGGCCACAGGGTGGACTGGTGGGCGGAGTCATACAACCACAGGGTGGACTGGTGGGCGGAGCCATACGGCCACAGGGTGGACTGGTGGGCGGAGTCATACGACCACAGGGTGGACTGGTGGGCGGAGCCATATGGCCACAGTGTGGACTGGTGGGCGGAGTCATACAACCACAGGGTGGAAATTCTAGTTTTCTGTAACAGAAGCAAAACTAAATACTCTCATTTCTGCTGTATCCTCCTCATCTTTCAGTCCCTCATCCTGGGCTGATAACTCTTCATCCTCCCTCTCTCCTCTGTGGCACTTATTTTTTAATTTCTTCCTCTCCTTCGTCTTAAGGCCGTCCTAATAAATTTGCCTCAGCTGTGAGTGCAGGAGTAGCTTTCACACCACATCATCAGCCCTTTCACTCACTGGTCTTGTGTTTCACGGGGACTTGATGTAATTGTACTGTAACACATTCACGTGGGACGTTTAATGAGCTCCACTGGCACACTGGTCTAATTTCACTTCCTCAAAGCTTTGAGAAGAGTCCTCCAGTTCCTCAGCAGGCGCCAGGTTTCACAAAAAGTAGGTGAGGAAGAACAAAAAGATTACACGCTGAAAAAAAAGTTACGTCACATGGGGATTAGTAAACCGTCACGGGAGCTCCGTCTTTCACCAATTGCTGCACAGGTTGTTACTGCACAAATCGGACGTGGCAGGTTTGCACGGGATTTAATATCACGTACTCTAATTATTCTAAATCCTGGATGTCCCCGGGAGACGTCAGCCCCGAGGGAGAGGGGCTTTAGTCTTTGCTCTGATGTTCGCATTGAACTCAAGGCTTTGAAGTGAAGCCTACCAGGCTGCTTTTCCTCCATGTTTTTGCCTCTGTGAGCAGAGACAGAAAATATGCGTCAACACTGCCAGAATGTCCCTATAAGACACATAGATGGACACATGTCGACTTAGTGTCTCAGCCCGTGGGAGGCTCATGAGAGTGTTTGTGCTTTATTCGTCTTCATGGGGAGGTTTATAATAAGCTGCAGGTTCACACTGAAATTAGTTTTTGCTGTCGTACAAAACAAATGTGCTCATTATAAGATCCTTCTCTTCCATTTCACAGTTGAGATTAGTCTGTCTGCAGAGGGAAACACAAAGTAATGTAGCTCCTAATGCTCATAATTCAGCTATGTAACATTACAAACAAGAACTGGAGGCAAAACAGTGACGGATATGACAATGAAACTTTACGACCTCCAGAAAGTCCAAGAGAATTAT